CCACCCCGCCCCTGTTCCTCCCCCACTGTAGGCCCTCCTGTCACCTGAAGTTGTTGAGTCCTGCGCCCCTCTCCCATCCTGTCCCACGGTGACCTCACATGCTGCCTCTCCACCTGATACTTCTCCGAGACTCGGTGGCACAGGCTCCCCCACCTCCCTGTCTTGTCCCCGCCATGTGGCTCCCCCCTCACCTGCGCCACATGCACACCTGTTTAGACACAGCACTAGTCACACTGCAGCCCCCCGCCCATCACACCAGACAGACAGACAGACTCCCTCGGTAGAGTCTTGGGCATGGATGGAGCTGCCATGTTCGTCCTGTGCACCCCTGTCCCGCGCGGGCCCCACGGGCATTTGTCACAGGAATAGGATGCTTTCTAGAAGAGCTCTTCAGCTTCTGTGAGAAGTAGGGTTTACTTTCAAAGGACATTTCCAGGGTAATGGTGGCTTTAGGCCTTGTACTACTTTCGGGGGCGGGGGGGGGGCCATGTTAAAATGCCAAACATTTGAAAATAGCCTTAGGAATGAGGGAATCAGAACACTGGCCAGAACAGACCGACAGAGAGAGGCTGAGCCCGAGCAGCGATGGCCGTCCTGCCCTGGTCACCCTCGGCCATGCTCTGCATCACGTGACAGGGCCAGGCGGAAGGTCCAGCCTCATTTCCCCAGTCACTCATGGTCGCCAGTGCCCAGCCGAGGGCTCCCAGGAGCGGGTGTGCAGAGGGGACATACTGTGACTCTACACTGAGAACAAACCGTGTCTTGCTTTCAGCTTTAAAAGCAATAAGTAGAGGAATAAATAAGAACATAAGTTCTATTCTTTATCACATTAGATGTCGAAACTGGGGTGGGATTTTGTTCCCTTCTGATAAGAGTGCTGTGGCTCCTGCCTTTGACCAGGTTGCCTCCCTATTGCCTCTAGCTGGCTGTGAAAGTGGATTTTCACCAGCTAGCCGCCTGCCAGTGGTTTTCTGAGCTGGGTCTGAAGTCCGGGCTCTGAGTCAGCAGGGGCGTCAGCGCGGCGGGAGGGGCTTGGTGGCACCCACATGGCCTGTCTGTAACTCGAGCAAAAGTTGGCGACGTGCGGCTCCTGATGGAATGAAAATGGGGCTTTTGACTTCAAGAGAATCTCTTAGGATGGCCGCGTGTGATTTTGCGAAGATGTTACCGGATATTCACTGAGGATACGCTCTTTTGTCTGTCTCGTTATCACCATAACCTTATGAATTTGCTCATTGCTGCTATTCTAGGCAAACTGTACGGGAGAGGTGCGACCGATGACAAGGGGCCGGTGGCCGGCTGGATGAACGCCCTGGAAGCCTTTCAGAAAACAAGTCAAGTATGTCACCCACGCCCAGCTGTGCCTCATGCACCTGGCTCCAGCTGAGTGCCGCAGGCTGGGCTTTCTGTCCCCGGAACAGCTTGTAAAGATCCAAGCTCACTGGGATATGAGACAGCAAGCTTCCCCAAACTGTCAGCGCCGTGAGTCAGATCTAAGATGCTAGTTGTGTTCCAGCTTCAGGAAACACTGGGTGTGATTGTTTTATAGTGTTCAACGGTCACACTGTTGAAGGTTCAGCAAGAGCCCAGGCCACCCATGAGTGACCGCCTGTGGGTGTGGTGGCTTGCCCTGACCACGGGCTTGTGATTGTGGATGGACCCTCCCTCTGCACAGTTTACAGCCTCTAAAAATACATTCTTGTTTTTTAAAAAATGTATTTCCTTAACTATGAAATACCCACTCCTTATTGAAAGTTTGTACAGAGCAGTAGAGAAAAATAAGTTGCCTAGAATCTCATTCCTCAGACTTCATATTTTATTACTTACCAATCTTTTCAAGTGTTTTTAACCTAATTGTCATCATAGTGTTTAGACGGGGTTTTGCATCTTGCTTTTATCTTGTATCGTGATAAAGCCAGACTTAAAGGGAAGCATTTTTGTCAGGGTGTGAAGTGGTAGATCTGAGTGGTAGATCTAAACCCCAGGCCCTTTGGGCCAGGGTCCATTTTGCACAGGAGGGAGCTGAGGCCCAGGACCTCTGCTTGTCGGGGCGCCCGCGGCCACCACGTGCTGGGTGCAGGGACTGGGATGGCTCCCCTCGTCCAGGGCCCTCCAGGGAGCTGCCCCAGAGCAGCTCCCCTGGCACCTGTCCCATACACCGAGATCCCGAGGAGGATTTCCTGTGAGGGGTGGAGGCGGCAAGGCGAGCGGTGCCCTGAGCGGTGCCATCACCAGCTCCAAGCAGGGCTCTGCAGACGGGTCCGCATGAGGGCCCTGCCATGCGCAGACCGCGTGGCTGCTTTCTCTCACCTGCGGAAGGGCCGCCTGCCTCACCACACAGCCTCGGTGAGGCTGGGAAAGGGACGTCCGTGCAGGGGCAGCGGCTGAATTAGGAGAGGCGCCCCCTCCCCGCCTCGTGCAGCCCTGGTGGTGGCCACAGGGGCGCAGGTGAGGACGCCTGTGCTTTCCTCTGTGTCACAGCCTGTGTGGCGAGCGCAGCTCAGGCTCCCCCGGGCCTCCTGGTTCGTGCTGGGTGAGCACAGAGATCCCTGCGACTAGGAAATGTGGTCACACTGAGGAACTCCGTAGAAGGAGCTGGAACAGGCTTGTCCCCTGACAACCCAGTGCCTGGGACGCGCAGCCCGCCCTAATGGCTGGTTGGGAGGAAGTCGGGTATTTGAAATCGGCGATTTCAGAATATTTGGTGACTTCCTGTCTGTTGTTTCTAAGAACTAAAGGTACATGACAGCTGAATGCCTGCCCACACTCTTTCCCTCACAGGGAATCCCTGTCAACATCCGGTTCTGTCTGGAGGGCATGGAGGAGTCTGGCTCCGAAGGCCTGGATGAACTGATTTTTGCCCAAAAAGACACCTTCTTCAAAGACGTGGACTACGTCTGCATTTCTGACAACTACTGGCTGGGAAAGAAAAAGCCCTGCATCACCTACGGCCTCAGGGGCATCTGCTACTTTTTCATTGAGGTATGTGCTGCGTTCGGCACACTTCATGGTGTGTGCCCGCCCCGTCCCCCCTGTAGTCAGCTAATCCCTCCCTAGCCCGCAGGTGCCGGAGGCTTGAGGGAAGAGGCAGCCCTCAGCCTGAGCCAGAGGCTGTCGGGTACTCCAGGCTCACTCGGGCAGCTGGCAGTGCCGTCCGGGTTCAGGCTAGACCGGACCTTCTGCTGTTGTCTCAGAGCAGTGGGAACCGATGAAATGCTGGTGCATCTAAGAAGACTGAGACGTACGCAAAGCACTGTAGAAAGACTTCCTTTCAGAAGCTAAAATAGTCGTTATTTCAGCCGTTAAGCTCTTAGGCCTTGACTGAGTGATCCTCAGGGAACTGGGACGTTGCACTTGACCCGGAACCGAGGAGGAGGGACCTGCCACTCGCTGTCTGGTCAGCTGAGCTTTGGTCTTCTCATCTGCAGAGAAGGAGGGGTACCTGCCACACAGGGCGACTGATGATTATATTGCTCCTGTCGGGGAAGGTGGTTTATGGGCTGAAAAGTGCTAGAAATGATCCGAGCTGCTACACTGAGCACTCGCTCTGTGCAGGGCACTTCTACCCGCTGTGTGAAAACCCGACAGGGACGCAGCAGCTGGGCGCTGAGGGCTCTCACTGGACCGTGTTCCAGGAGAGGGGGCTGCGGCCCGAGGCGGTGCCTGCCTCTCGCTGCTCACACAGCCAGTCGGTGGTGGGCGAGGCCTGAGCCCTCGGCTCCAGGCCCCTCGGGCTCTTCCATGGTAGATGGCACCCTTTCAACAGCTAGGTGCAGGGTCTGCATGAAACCGCTGGCAAAGGATCTGAGTGCTTGAGCAGTTGCCTGTGGCACGTTTACACCTGTGGTCGGCACTCCTGGTTCACCTGTGGTCAGCACCCCCGGTTTGCCTATAGTTAGCATTTCCAAGGGTATTTTTTTTATTGCTTCCACAGTTTTATAATTTAGGAAACACCTTGCTCTGCTCGTTGAGGGAGCAAACTTTGATTTTTAAAAATTGCCCGTCGGGTCTTGTGAAGGTTCTTTGTTCGATTTGCTGTCACATGAGAAAAACAAGCTCCCGCCGAGCAGCCCAACAGAGTGGCTTTGTTCCCCGCGCAGGTGGAATGCAGCGACAAAGACCTGCACTCGGGTGTGTACGGGGGCTCGGTGCACGAGGCCATGACGGACCTCATCACGCTGATGGGTAAGCAGGCTTCCAGTCGGTGCCTGGGGCTTGGGGGAGGCCGGGAGGGCCTCATCGCCAGGCTGCCGTCAGCGTCTGCTCATTCCAGCATTCTTCGCGAGCCAGTCGTGTCACTGCTTCCTTCCTCCATGCAGTGTTCCCTTTAGAAGTGGGCACTGATGCTTCGTTTCTGCCTCCGCCTTCCTCCACCGTCGCTTCGCTGTGCCACTAGCCCCTGCCTCCTCCAGGACCCAGCTCGGCACCCCTGGCTCCCCAGGGTCCGGCCCGTCCCCTAGAGTCACACGACTCTTTCCTCTGGGCACGCCGTGTGGCATGTGCTTCGGTCTGCTTTATGTTGCAACTGCCTCCGTGAGGTCCGCACGGTCGGCTCACTGTCCTGGCATCCTCGGGCAAGGCTGGGCATAACTGTTGCCTCACACAGTCTGGTGTCCTGTGTCCTCCCGGGCGGAGAGTGGCTGCCACATGTGAAGTCAGGTGGCTTCTGGGACTGGAGTCTTCACAGCTTGGGAGCTGCTCGTTTCTTGTGGAAAGCGCACCGACGGGCCTGCTGGATGCTGTCGGGGTTCCAAGGGGCCTGGGGCCGCCTGCCCAGCGCGCCCTGGTCTCTGACCGTGTGGACAGCCCATCTCTTCTGTGTCGGTGTCTCTATCCCAAAACGGGGAGATGGCACTGCTCACCTGACCAGGTTGTCGTGGCAGTTACATGACTTAAGCCCCACAAGCCCCGAGCCACCGCGGGTGCCGGGAACTGTGCCCACCAGGTCCCTGAGCCAGGCCTCGGCCCTGCGGGAGCCTGCTGGCTCCGGGCCGCCTGCGTGCAGAGCGCTCATGCTTCCGCTCTCCCCAGGCTGCCTGGTGGACAGGACGGGGAAGATCCTCATCCCCGGCATCAGCAAGGCGGTGGCCCCCGTAACAGAGGAGGAGCTGGAGCTCTACGACAAGATCGACTTCGACTTGGAGGAGTACGCCAAGGACGTGGGGGCAGACACCCTGCTGCACAGCTGCAAGGTGCTGCCTGGCGCGACCTGTGACTTGTCTGTCCACCAGCCCTCCTAATGTGCCATGCAGGGGACCCCCGTGGGGAGGAGCCAGCAGGGTGGCGGAGATTCCTGCGTGTCCATGTGCGCGTGAGGCGGTACAGGCCCCAGAGCAGGATGCTCCCAGGCGGAGGCCGGGAGGTCTGAGAAGTGTCGGATGGCGACTGTGAGTGTGTAGGAGCCACACGGGTGTGCAGGGAGCCTTGGTGGCGGCCACTGCTGCCTGTCTGTCTGTCTGCACTGCGCTGGAGATGCTGGGGGCCCCCAGACGGCGCCCCTGCTCAGGTGGAAACTGCACGAGACGTTTAGCCAACTGCTGGGAGAAAGTGATGTCAGAACTTCTCTCTGACTTGGGTTAGGCCCCGGTGCAGGCGGGCGGGCTGCGTGCCCACACTCGGTGTAGCCGTAATTGACTCCAGCGACAGGCCCTGAGGGTGGAGGGGAGCTGTCCCCTCTCGGCCCTGCGTTTCTTCTCCCCGAGAGACAGACTGATGTATAAGAGGGTGTGTGGAGGCCACGGGTGGCCTGGAGCTCTGTGTGCCTGCAGCGGGGACAGGAGGGCCTAAGGCCAGGGGAGGGCCAGCTCGGAAAGGCCCAGGGTTAGGCCTGTAAGCGCCTGGTGTACAGTCTCTGGTCCGCCAAGGAGCTGGAATGCTCTCCCAGATGGCGGACGGGACCAGCTTTGAGAAGAGGGCTGAGCTGCCCAGATCTCACTGTGGTCAGGTGATAGGCAGGGGCGTGGGGGGGGTGGGATGGGAGCTGAGCGAGTGCAGCTGGGAGACCCGTTAGGCTCGGACGGGGAGAGGACCGTGAGCTGGTGTGTGGAGACGAGGAGCAGTGTGAGGGCCGCCTGAGCTCAGGATGCATGAGCGGCGATGGGACCACGTGGAGGAAGAGTTTCGCAGGCAGCGGAGAAGAGAAAGTCCTCGCCGGTAGTGGATGGGGCCCTGGAGCTGTGGACCAAAGAGCTTAGTCCCGGGGAGGCCTGAGTGGGAAAAGGTGGCTTCTGAACCAGCTTCTGTTTCTCCTGCCCTGTTGCCTTCAGATTAACGTTTGCTTCTCTGTAAGGTGTCACTTCAGGGCCATCTGTATTCTTGCAGTTATTACTGAGCTGTTTGGTTCACAAACAAGAAGTCCACTAATTAAGTGGTTAAGGCACCAAGGAATCCTGGGAGCCCCATCAGGTTTCTCCGTGCCGGTCAGGTGGGCAGGTGTCTGCGTCCCCTCCTGACCCATCTCGTGCCACTGGTGGGACACACGCGGCATAAGCGGCCATAGTATCAATTATATGCCTGGGAGACAGAAGACTGCTTTGTGCCAGCCCCCCCGGCAGAGGGTGACAGTGCTTGTTGGTGGTCAGTGGGTCCAGGACACAGTGGACTGTCCTGGCTTCCCACCCACAGGGAGTCCTCCAGATTCTGGGCCCTGTGGGCCTAAGGAGGGCTTCACAGATGGCCTGAGTTGGGCTCTGTCTGCCTCCTGGTGCCTCTGGCCCCACAGGAGTCCTGACGTATCTGGGACCTTGACCTTCCCGCTGCATTCGATAGGGCTGGCAGGAGCCCTGGCTCCTGGACTTGGCTAATCCCAGTGTCCAGAGAACAGGAGGCGGGTGCGTGCCGCGCTGGAGGGCGCCCAGAGCGTGCAGCGCCCCCTTGAGGTGTCACAGGCGGCAGATAGCAGAGTGCATCTGGGGCCGGCTCCCCGCCCAGCCCTGGCGGGGTCTGTACCTCCTTCTCGGGCTGGCTGGTGACCGAGCGGGACCTCCCAGTCCACATGCCATCTCCGCTGAAAGCTGACCGTGTTGTTCCCTGGCCCACTCTCGCTTTCTGCAGAAAGACATCCTGATGCACAGGTGGCGGTACCCGTCCCTCTCCCTTCACGGGATTGAAGGCGCCTTCTCGGGGTCGGGGGCCAAGACCGTGATTCCGAGGAAAGTGATTGGCAAGTTCTCCATCAGGCTCGTGCCGAACATGACTCCCGAGGTGGTCAGTGAGCAGGCACGTGGGGCGCTGGGACACAGGGTGGGGCTGCTGGGCACCGACAGAGACTTGGGGTACAAAAGACGTCCAGGGCTCTGAGCAGCTGGAGAGACACAAACCCCAAACCCACGCTTCCCCACTTCTGGGCTCTGGCCAACACTTGGTGACTAGAATGAGCGTTCAGAAACTGATCAAGATAAAGGCCACATAAAAGTCACATGGGAGTGACCTTTGTCACTGCTGAGGCACGCCAAAGCCTGACTTCCGACCTCGTCCTAAGGCTCCAGGTCAGATGCTGACTTCAGGTCGAATATGTCCTGGTGAGAGTCCGAGGGAGCCGCCCGTGGGCTGTGGTGAGGAGTGGGGGGCAGGGGGGGCAGGGCAAAGTCCAATAGCCACAGGGCAGCCGGGCTTTCGGGGAGCGGTCCCCCAGGGGGAAGGTTTCATGGAGAAAGGGAGTCAAACTCGCCCCTGCTGGGAGAGGACACTGAGGACTGGGGTTTTGTCCTCAGGGGTCAGCACCTGGCTGCGTTTTGGGTCTGGATGTGATTGTTCTTACAAAGCAGATCAGGGTCATTTTTAAAAACTTGGTTTAAATATTGTCCTATGGGAACGTCAGCATGAAGGGTGAATTGCTTGAAATTAACACGTTACCTTTACCTTCAAATAACTGGAGATTTTTTTCTTGATAAAATCTTTGTCTGTTATCACAGTTACACAGGTCAGTTTTTAGCAGCTGAAAATGGGACCCATTGAAGGCCTGTAGGCTCGCTGTAGACTCAGTGTAGACTCCTGGTAGACTTACTGTAGGCAGGTCGTAGACCCTGTAGACCCATCATAAACGCATTGTAAACTCGCTGCAGACTCAGTGTAGACACACGGTGGACTCTTGGAGAGCAGATCACTAGCATTGGACCAAGTGCCACGTTTTATAATACATTGTGCCCCTTCTGTTTGTGTTCAGGTTACCAGCTACTTGACTAAGAAGTTCGCTGAGCTGCACAGCCCCAACAAGTTCAAGGTGTACATGGGCCATGGTGGGAAGCCCTGGGTGTCTGACTTCAACCATCCCCATTACTTGGCTGGGAGAAAAGCCCTGAAAACAGGTCAGACATTCTCCTTGGACATGGATGCAGGGCCCGTAGCGCGTCTGCCGGGACTCTGGTTATTGTCTGGGCACGTGGCTACGCAGTGATGCTCTCAGCAGGGCCGATGTGCAGGCAGGGCCACCGCGCCAGCCAGCCCTGGGAGTGGGCTCTGTCCCCAGGCCTGCTGGGCCGGAGGTCAGCGACGGTGCCCCAGCCTTGCAGCCTAAACTCACCATTTCTTTTATTTCTTCCCCCCAGTGTTTGGTGTTGAGCCGGACCTAACCAGGGAAGGTGGCAGTATTCCTGTGACTTTGACTTTTCAGGAGGCCACAGGCAAGAATGTCATGTTGTTGCCTGTGGGGTCAGCCGATGACGGCGCCCACTCCCAGAATGAAAAGCTCAACAGGTGAGGCTGTGGGTCCTCAGTGCTAAGTCTGGGTTAGTTTCCTCGTGGGCACCAGTGAGAAACCCTGTGAAAGTCCAGGGCGCCCCCAGTTCCTTCCTCCTCCACACCTCCTGTCCTGCTGCTGAGACACCCCCCTCCAGTGCTCTCTGCCGTCTGCCCTTGGGGTGCTGCAAACTTCTGGTGGGAGGCAGGGCAGGGGCCCGGGGGAGGTGGCAGCTCTTTAGAACAAGGCTCTGTAGTCTGTCGCTGGGCCTCATCTACAACCCCAAGGACCGCGACACTCTTCTGTTTGAAATATGGGAATGTCATTGCTGGCTGCGTGAGCCCCTTTTAGACGATCCAGGTACTGGGCGGCTCTTGTAGCCAACAGAGACGGAAGGTGATCTCTGAGTTGGCAGCTGTGCGGGGAGACCCACGCAGGCAGGGAGGACCCTGAGGCCTTTGGGGAAGAGCGGAGGAGAGCAGGAAGCAAGGCCGTCTTGGGGTAGCAGGCGAGCCAGTCAGGGATAAGACAGAGACAGAGGCAGAGACCCTGTGTGGAGGGCGGAGGGTCTGGGTCTCAGGACACGTGTGGAGGCGTCGGATCCAAACAAACAAAGGGGGGCCATGATCAGGGTGAGGCTGTGTGTATTCGGGTGCTGGGTGAGACCCCACATGTTCTGTTAGACCACGGCCAGGACTAGTGCCTGGAGGGCAGTCGGACTGAACCTGCCCTTGAGAACCAGGTGCCCAAACCTAAAGGCAAGCAGACCACAGGGCGGCAAGCCAGGACGGCGGGGTGCTCCCAGAATGCCGTGTGTGCCGGACCTCGGGGCGCCAGCCCACACGGTGACTTGTTCCTTCCCACTAGGCGTAACTACATAGAAGGAACCAAAATGCTGGCGGCCTACCTGTATGAAGTGTCTCAGCTGAAGGCCTGAGGCTGTCTTCCTCGGAGCGACGCTGCTGGAACCCCGCCCTCACCCTCGTCCTCTCCGATCGCTCAGGAAAGCTGTCGTCTGTCTCCTTCCCCTCCTGTCAGACCACCCACAGAGCCCGAGTGGACACGGGAGCCCCACCTGTCTCGCGACGGGCATGCCCTGTACCAGGCGGGAAGGCCATTCAGTCCCGGGCTCGGGACTCACCCTGAAGGACAGCGGAGCCCCCAGAGCTGGGCAGCACGGCTTGGTCTCCAGCAGACAGCCGACGTCTGCCTGCATGAGTTCTTCTGTAGAAAGTTCTGGTGGGCGTCCCGCTGGGCCAGACGGAGGCCTCGGTGCCCTCTGGTCCATCTCTGCCTGCTGACTCGGGCCAGGCGCACTTGGACTGTCAGGGGCGCCTGACACCTCGAGGGCCCTGGCTGACCCCTTGCTGCCCTCGGCGGCTCGGCCCTTTCCTGAAGACCCCACCCATCACTGACGTCCCCTGGCTTCTCTGTATTATCCCTCAAAACCTGAACCTCACTGGAAGGAAGATTCGGCCCCAGTCTGTGCTGATGAATAAAAAGTACGAGTGAAGCGTCTGGAAGCCTTGCTGCCCCCGCCGTGCTCATGGAGCACACCTGCCCGAGGGGCGGGGCAGGTCTCCCCCAGTCCCCAGGAGGAGCGGTGACCCGTTCCCACTTCCCCAAGGGAAGGGACCCTGCCCCTAATCCTTATGCTGCCAAGTCACCAAAACTCAGATCAAACTGGTTTAAACAAAGGAGAGTTTATTGGCCAGGCGGATAAGAGATGGGAGTAAACACTAGTATGGGGAAGCCAGGCGGGCGTGATTCCGGGTAAAGTCTGGTGTGTCCACTTCGCTGACCGTCTTGTCTCATAGGTCAGAACTTGGGTGGGAAAAGGGCCCTCACACCTCTGCTGTGCACAACGGTGACATTGGAAGGCATTGTTTTACCCCCGTGACCTCTCTCCGACACTGTCACTCCCTGGGCTCTCCCCTGTCCCTAGCGTCACCCCCGCAGTCCCCGAAGCCATGTGTTCTGCAGCCTAACCTCCTCCCAACCACCCCCATCCCTCTAGTCCTCTTGGGCTGGAAAACCACCTGCTACCAATTGCCGCAGTCACTGGGACCGATCCTTTGAGCTACCTGCCCTGGGGTCTGCACTGTAACTTCTAGATAGAGGATAAAAGTCTTTTCTGCTAAGGAGATGGCTCCCAGCAACAAAAGTCCAGAAGTTGTTTGGGGCATAGAAGAGGCTTTCCTGGAATCGCTGAAACCCAGAGTTTGCCATTTATTGCTTTGCTTTACTCCCCAGCAGGAAGCTGGCCGCTAACAAAAATACAGCGGCCTGGCCTCATAGAAAAGGCAGAACTTGACTGGGCTGCCTTCTTGACCTGGAGGAGAAGGGGCCCCCTTGACTGAGGGAAAGTCGATTTCACTCCGCTCTTGTTGCTTTTTGGTATCGGTCAGCGAAGCTCTGCTGGAAGTGAGGGCCCTGCAGCCACAGTGTGTTAATTAGAGAGGACGTGGGTTGGCTGCTGTGACCAAGCCAACAAAGGCTCCCGTGACTGCTGTGCTACGTGAGGTCCATGCAGGCCGGGCAGGCCGGGGCTGGTGTGGCGGCTGTTCCTGGGGGCCCGGCTCCTGGGTTGCACGTCCTCAGCCCTCAGGGTCCTCTTATGGTTTTAGATGTCTGCTGCAGCTCCTGCAACCCCAGCTGCATTTCAGCGGTGAGGAGGGAGCATGCTTGTTTGCCTTAAGGCACAATCCAGAATTAGCAGCTGTTTCTTCCATTTGCATCTTAGAAAGTACACGGCCGCTCCTAACTGCTCAAGAGGTGGAAATAGGCCTGGCTGAAATGCCCACCACTCCAGGAGGGCAAACATACTAGGCAGTCAACCCTGAAATCCTTCTACACCATGATATCTGTCCCAAAGAAAACCAGAGGAAGGAGGAATATGTCGCATTAGAGAGGAAGGACTCACTGGACACTTCTTTCCTTGTATTTCAGAGAAAAGTATAGTGTCTGCAGCAGCCCCTACGACTTTGGGGAGAGCGCTGAATGGTGAGGGAAAGCAGTTGGCCACCCCAAAATATGCCTTATGTTGGTTGTTTTAAGTTGGTTATTTTTAAGAAACAAAAGACTCAAAAACCTTCAACCTTCCCCCTAACTGCCTAAAACAGAATTTAAATAGAGGACCAGCTCCAGGAAGGGAGCCGATATCCGAGAGGACTATAGTTTGATCTGAATGAGTCCTCTGTGTCCCAGTGGTAAAGATGGCCAGCAAACATTTCACTTACCAAGCACTTGCTTTTCCATCTCCACGTGAATTGCCATCCCGCCATTTGAGGTCACCAACCAAACTCCCTTCCTTAGCTCCCCATGGCATATAAACCTTAATTGCAGGGCCAGCCGGCCGAGTGGCACATTGATTAAGAACTGGCTTGGAGGGCCGGCCGAGTGGCTCAGTTGGTTAAGAGCTCGCTCAAGAGTTTGAGCTCTGAGCAACAGCGGTTCGAGTCCAGCCCGCTGAGCAGCCGCTGAGCTGCCAACAGGTAGCAGGATGGCTCAGCTAAAAAAAAAAACAAAAAAAAACTGGCTTGGGACGCCAGAGGGCCCCGGTTCGGATCCCACATATGAGGGCCAGTGACACTGCCCTCTACAGCTAGGATGCTGAACAACAGCTCAACCTGGAGCTGGGCTGCCGTGAGTCGCTGGCGACGGCGTAGGCTGCAGCCCCTGCTGCAGTGGGTTGCCATGGGCTACTGTGTGTAGCCAGCAGCCAGCGTGAGCGGCCAGCAGCCGCTGTGAGCGGCCATTCAGAAGCCGGCGACTGATCTGCCTCACCTGGGAAGAGCGCAATGATGGTGCCAACTTGGGCCAGTGAAGCAACGTCCTCCACAACTAGACTGAAGAACAAAAAAGGACAGCAACTTGTCTGTTCCCCTTCCCCCAATTCCCCAGTGCTGTTCCCCTTCCCCCAATTCCCCAATAAAAATCTTAAAAAGAAAACAACATAAAAACAAACAAAAACCTTAATTGCCAAAATGTCCACAGGTCTCATATTCTTAGGAGAACCCCATATGTCCATACACAATAACTTTGGCCATTTACTCCAGCCTGAAGAACTCAGGTGGAAGGGAAATTAATTTCTCTGCCCCACCCCACGTTTTGGCAGCTAGGCAGGAGGACTTGACTGGCTGGATACCGTGTGCTTTGGGGACTGCTGGAGAGCAGCTCCTGGGCCTGCGACACAGGCCGGCACAAGGTAAGAGTTCTTACTACGTCGGCACTTTGGAATCGGTGGGGTCTGGTGGAGCAAGGGTGGTGAGAATCTTTTTTTCTAACTTGAGCCGGAGAAAATATTTGAGAAAGCTGTTTCCTGGGCAAACGTGACTAGTGAGAATGTGGTTTGAGTCCTTTTGTTCTCTGTTGACCCTGTTCCTCCTAGAGCTGGTCACTGTTTTTCTTTCTGCTGTTTGTCTTGTTCTGTGTTTGGAGAGCTTCGCTTTGACCTCCTCTGGTCTCTGGCCCCCCGAAGGTGCACTTATGGCAAGCATTTGGCAGCCACGCAAATAGACTGGAGATTCTGGGCACCTGTAACAGTAGCCCTGGGCCAGCTGTAGCCAGTCGACTGTCATCTTTTCACCTTTTCTTTTGTGCCAGCTCTCGGAGGAGTTTGTAATGAAGGGTCCCAGTCCGTAGGGGCCCCTATTATCCCAGCCTTTGCTGCTTTAACTGTCTACATCAATGAAGGGTTTTTACTGTCGTAGAGCGTCCTGGGGGTGAACTTTCGGATCCTGTGAGAGCTGCAAGCTTTGCACTCTTGTCGAAGCCTCTTTTTTATTCTATTTTATTTTTTTAATTAGCTTCAGGTGTACAACACAGTGCGGTAGTTATACTTTTTACCCCTTGTCGAAGCCCCTTAAACCATAAAAGGCTCAGTGGTTTGAGTCGCTGTTGAGGTGAATAGATCCTACCGTCACTGGCCAGACGCGGGATTCCTTTGAGTTGGAAAAACGTCTATATTCGAAACATTTTACAGATCTCATTGTACATAGATGTATTTTTGAAACCTATAGAAAGACCAAAAAAAAAATGTTACAAAGAAATACAACTGCCTGCCTTACAAACAGAACCAGTTTGGAAAGGCTTATGGAATTTGCTTTCTCAGCTTTCCCTCCTGGGTCTCACAGATAACAACAGAAACATTCAGTTAATTAACGAGAGAATGGGGAGGCGCTGAGGGGACAGTCACGGAACTCTTCCCAACAAGGCAGACACCTTTCAAAGGTTATTAAGAAGTAAGGTGACTAAAGCGAATATTGATAAGAGCAAAAGAAAGAAGAAACAAAGGGAAGAGGCACAGGGTGGAAACCTTTAGAAAGTTAAGAAGTGGGCTAAAGAAATCAGACATTGATGGGGTTAAAGCAAAGGTTTCAGTACAGCGCTTCCAAAAGTCGGACAGGCCAAAGAGACCCCCTGCTGGGCCCCTAAGAAGTATGCTTTGTGTACCGCCATTTGGAGAAATTTTAAAAGTAAAAGACCGAGATTACAATGACAATCCTGTCCAGCCATCAGGGGCAGCAGCCAGACTGCTAATCAACTCACTCCTAAGATTAGCAGAATTGATGACATCATAAGAATGTGGCCCCTGAATGGACCGGTGCGTGGAAATGTGGACGTAGAATCCCACTGACCTGTAGTTCCCATGGACTTGCACACGAAGCTGGTTCAATGCACAACTTGAAAGAAATGGTCATTTAGAAGGAGCAGGAATTTTTTGGGACAACAGATGTTCCGCCCAAGAGGGAACAGTGTGGACTCTGACCCCAGTGAAGGTGGCCCTGCTGCCCCCACCGTGATTGTGAGGGAGACTCAGGACTAACCCCACCCAGGGAGAACCCTCAGAGTCACGTCCGGGCCTGGTGTGCTTCGAAAGACCTCTCTCGGTGATTCGGAGGCTCGCAACCTGTTAGGGTCTGAGTTGTGTTCCCCCAAAGTTCGTATGCTCAAGTCCTAACCCCCAGTGCCTCAGAACGTGACCTGATATGGTAATAGGGCCTTTGCAGATGTAGTGATGATGAGGCCATTTTGGAGTAGGACGGGCCCAAGGCCACTGTGACTGGTGTCCTTATGAAAGGGGGACGTATGGACAGGAACATGCACACAGGGCAATGCCATGTGAAGATGGGAGCAGATTGAGTGATGCGTGTGCCAGACAGGGAACACGGAGATGTCGGCAGCCTCTCAAAGCCAGGAGCGAGGCCAGGGACAGGCTCCTCACAGCTGTCCGCGGAGCCAACACTGCCCACACCTTGATCTTGGCCTTCCGGCCTCCCGAGCTGGAAGGTCATAGGTCTCTGTTGTTTAAGCCAGTTTACGGCATCCTGAGCCTGTAACCCTGACCTGGGTCATAGGTGGCATTCCATCATGAGGGCCCCCAGTGACACGGCAGGCTCTGTCACCTGCACAGGGTACCAGGGTGTGCTCACATTGCCTCTCTCTCAGCTCTACTGGCCTGGGTCACATGCACTCACACACAGTGAGACACCTGGGTTGTCACGCACAGCCCGAGCGGCCCTGATGGCCTTCAGTAGCATCAGATGACTTCCGGGCTATTACCTCATTACACACATGCGCATACGAGGCACATTGTTTCTTCTTCTGCCCCCAGATGTAGTGAATGTCTCTGAAGCATCTTTGTTTTCCAGCGTGAATAGGTCCACTATGCCAGCCTCGTCTTCCTTCCAGGGGAGGGGGAGGGGCACGGGACAAGCCATAGGGACATTGAATGTGACCGCGGAAGGCCTTGGTGAGATCTCCTCGTCCACTTCCCCTTGCAGGCCAGGGAACGGCTAGAGGCTTCAGAGCTCCAGCCCAATGGACCCCACACCGGGGAGCATGGTGAGTGGGCCCTGCCATGTTTGCAGTGTGAGGACCAGAGGGCTAGACGTCCGTTTGCTGAGAGAGTGTTCTCTGCTGGGAGCCGGGGGCACAGAGCAGATGCTGTGTGTGGTCCACAGGAAGCTGCTGCTCAGAGATGTTCCTAGGTGTGCCCTCCAGAGGGACTTGATTGGTATGCTTTGGTGGCTCTGGTGTTACAAACAATTAAATGGCATGATTTTCAAGTAGTGCCTGGAGTGCAGGTACGCCGGGCGGTGTCGGGCATGGGCTCGAGACCCAAGCAGCAACTCTAGGTGGAGTGAACCAGGCCTTACAGCAGCACACTTCTCCATACTCGTGTTTCCTTCCCACAAAAATCAAAGTTCTTATTCAAACCGCAAGGCAGAGCTCGCAGCTACCGAAGGCACAAGGTAGTGTACGGCTGAGAGGAAGGTGTGGGTGGCCGTACATCAGGGACAACCTGCTGCCCTTCTCACTAGCCTGAGCTCTGTTCCCCACCACGGACATCAGCATGAGGTGTTGGGGGGTGGGGGCCCCGGGATCTGCAAGTTTAAAGCGTATGGTTCAGTGACTTTTAGTACATTCACAGATATGTGCAACCATCACCACAGCTGACTTTAGGACATTCCCATCACCCCCAAACGAAAACCTGCACCCCTAAGCATTACTCCCTCCTCCCCTGTCGCTGCCCCCAGCCCTGAGCGACCACGGTCTGCTTGTGTCTCACTGAGGTCTCCCTGTGGTGCAGGCAATCGGGTGTTTACAAGCAAGCATTCCTGGGGAAGCAGAAATGGAGGAGAATGATTAGAACAAACTCCAAACTCCGTTTCTGGTCCAGAGGGTGGTCGGCTGGGAAGATTGGTACATGTTTGGCTCAAAGCATCAATAGATGGTGGAGCGATGGGAGATGTTGATGGGTTTCATGGTCTGCAGTTTAAATGAGCCTGGTGATGTCGCTGGGTGTCGTGGTGAACTTTCTGGATGGCCGGCACAGCGGCAGGCAAGAAGGCTGACCCTACGGGACCCGCTGCAGCGATTTCTCTGAAGTCCTATCGATCGAGTCGTGCAGCTTCAGTTTGTGGGGCTCCAGGGAAGGGCAGTTTCGGTTCTTAGTGATTCCAAGTGACAGGGTGGGAGAATATCGCCAACATTGGTTTGGAGCAGTGGTTTTCAACCTGTGGGTCACGACCCCTTTGGGGGTCGAATGAAAAAAAACCAAAAAGATATTTACATTATGATTCATAACAGTAGCAAAATTACAGTTATAGAGTAGCAACTAAAATGCTTTTATGGTTGGGGGTCACCACAACATGAGGAACTGTATTAAGGGGTCGCGGCATTAGGAAGGTTGAGAACCGCTGGTTTGGAGGGTTGTAGCTAACCGTTGGCGGAAACTGGAAGAATTCAGAGCCAGTCCGGTTTACACGTAGGTGACAGAGCCCCTAAGACAATGATGGAGGGCTAGGGTCTGACAGTGGCGCGCTATAGTGTTTGACAGAAACGTGATTTTCTCTCTGCACTCACCTCCATTGCATCACATGTAATCACAGTGAGGCTCATTTGTAAAGTAAGTCTAGTCTCATTACGCTTGGCCTGACTATTTACACTAGTGCGGCGGGAATAGTAACTGGTCACGCAGGCTCTTTTTAAGTCTGCTTTACCGGAACTTTCAATGAGGCGTCTCAGGTCAGACTCTGAGAAGCCTCTCTGGACTAGGAAACCAAGCACTGGCCACCAGACTTTACCAGCGATACCGATGTTATTTGGGTGAATTCCTCTTTCCTTCAGGTCCCCGATGTACCCCTAAGATCCCTGAGTCTGCCAGAAAATGACCGTCCTCACTCGCCTGTAAGGCTGGGAACCCTGTAAGCAGGGTGCCAGGCTGGCTTCTCTGTGGGGGTTATTGGCTGAGGAAGTCAACCTTAGTTTCTTAACACGGTCTGTTCACAGCCGATTCTATGCACATCGTTCTTGAAGGTAGCATTCCAGTCAGGGCCTTGGTGACACAACCAGTGTTTCCATAAGGAGAACAGAGTCTTCCTTGCCTTCTGCATCTGCCTGGATAGATGAACTGTATTGCCATGGGAAGAAGAGCACTTGATAGGAGTTTACAAATTCAGGGAGAAAAGCAAATATTTTGATTCTGTGTACAAAGGTACAGTTTATCAGCTTACTGTACATTATATTGTAGATCGTTTAAGAGAAAAAGCATTTCCTAAAACCTGGAAAACAAAACATTAGAGAACCAGCAACATTTCTAACAGAAAGTCCTACAATTACAACCATCCTCTTCAGTTCATTGCGTCCCATGTGACTTCTGTTTTGCTTGATCCGGGGTTAGAGGTTTTGTGAACCCCTAAGCTTTGTCGTTCGCCGGGAGACCCTCACTCAATGCAGTGCCCGGCTCTCAGAGCTACTCAGGTGATGCCACAATGGAGCGTTCCTGCCTGGAGCTGATTATAAATGTTTTCCGAGAAGAATCAGGGTAAAGCAGTAACTGTGAATGACAAAAGACTTAAAAATAGCTATTCCTGGAATAGCCTGGAATGCCCCCTTCCCTTTATCTCCTGGATCTTGCTTCCTGGTCACCAGGGACAAGCGAAACCCATATACTGAAGCCAAGTTTGCTGTGAGCTTAAGATGTATCAGATAACATTCAAAACAGTAGGTAATTGCATGTTTCTAGAAAAGGGCGTGTGTTCTCTGTGACGGATGGGCTCCATTTTGGTCCCTTTGCCCTGCTAGAGCAGCCCTGCGGAACCCACCCTGACTCCCCCAGACAGCTGTCCCCTCCCTTGTCACGGGTCCTCTGTCCCAAGTCTGGGTCTCCTGGCCTCCAGGCTCCACCGCCCTCACCCCCTGCTGTTCCGCTGCCCTGATTTTGTCTGTTTTCCCCAAGATCACTCAGTCACTCCTGCTGGTGTATTAGATGTATATCCCGTGAACATCTTCACACCCCAGTCACTCAAATGAGATTTAAAAGAAAAAAACCAAGGTGGTGCCTGTGGCTGAGCACGGTGAGAAGACCCCAAGTTGGCCGCACGTCCTGGCTCTGGTGTTGGCACACGGCCATCAATGGTTTGGGGTTGGTGCCCTTCACCCCTCACTGTGGAAGAGTGCATCCCATTCAGACAGAGTCCCAGGGACGTTCCCGCCTCAGAGGAGCTCAGCACGCAGCCCAAGTGATGACACTGCTCTCCCCACATGATGCCTCTGTGTGCTGACCTGTTGACTCAGGACACCTGCCTGTGGGAAAAATAGCAGGCGTCTGGCCACGTCGTTCATTCTTTGTTTTTCATGGGATTTGTCACTGGGCTGTAAGCTGCTGTCATGTTTGCAGATGACAGCAAGCTCTAGAGGTGGCACAAAGCCGGGGCTGATGTTTTAAAGGGTTCCAGATCCCTGGCCGGACTGGAGGGAACTGAAAGGATCCCAGGGTCCTTTCTAGGTGACATCACACGCTGACAATGCCAGCTTTTCCTTCCCTGTGGCCTGTGCGGGCAGCGGGCGAAGACCAGAGGCTGGGGAACACGTGCCCTGTGCAATCCCAGGCACGGCCCTGGGACCATCTGCTCCTGGAGGGAACACCGTCCAGCCCGGATATTGTGAGCACATGACCTGGGCCTTCTGGCAGTGGTGCCCTGTGCCTGTGTCCAGCCTGGGCGACCTGGCCAAGCCAGCGGCCAGTGCAAGTTGCAGCCTGATTCCAAGCTCCCCCTGCGCCCACAACTGTGCTGGGCTCCTTCACCCCGCGGATGGTGATCCCTGCACCCCAACAGCACCCCCTCGTCTCAGCCACCTGCACATGGTGGTGTGCCACCTTTGGATCCTGGAGTGAGGTTGAGCCAAACTCTTCTCTGGGCTCAAACTCGCTGGTCAGTCCCAACTAGAGGCTCCTGGACTTTCTGGGGGAGCCTGCCCCTCCAAATGGCTTCCTTCACCCCGCGTGAGCGCAGGCCGCCCCCAGAGCCGCGCCCCACCTGGCTTGCTCTTCAGGACTCGTCAGGCTCAGTGCAGCCCTGCAGGGGAATGCACAGAATCCAGAAAGGCCTGTTTGGAAGCTTTGGGCTTTTATTCCTAATCCTGTCATGGTGAGATAAAGCAGGCCAATAAAGGCATTGTTCCTGGATGGTAAGAAATCCGTCAGCACAGGCACAGGGCCGGGCCACCTCTAAAACCATCACACGGGGCCCTAGACGGCTTGGCAAGTGGCATTCTTGGCTTCCAAGTTGACCAGCACAGGGTCTCATGGGCGGGCAAGGGTTTGGCTGATGGGCCCTTGTGTGTACAGGGCAGGGACCACGCTTGGCCCAGGCTGCGGGGTTAAAGGCAAGAATGCTTTCATTGTTCTAGTCTTCTATTCGACATCAGAAACAAACCACAGCAGCCAAGAGTTCAGGAGTGGGTTTTGTCAACAGCTGACCCCCTCCTAGCCTCTTTTTGGGGTGCCTGCTATTAATTTAGATGGATGGACTGCAAAAAATAGCCTCCTCTATTTCACAGAGACTTTCTCAGGCTCCGGGAGCTCCTTCTTCCGGCCACTGTCGGTCTCCAGCGGTCATTTCCTCCTGAATTATTTGCAGCGCTGGCTCTGCCCCCTAGAGCTTAGCGGGCTCCAGCCTCGTTCCTATCGCCGCAGGAGGCAAAGGGCGCGCAGGAGCGGCTCGTTGGCGCCATCTGCTGGCCCAAGTCCTCACTGCGCTCACGAAGGAGCGCGGCTCTCTCCCATCTTGGCGTTACCCACCGCTTAGCTTCCTGTACAGACGTTTTTCATGGTCAATAGTATATTTATATTGTTGAACTAGTGTTTAGGTTTACGGTTGTTATTGTCATAGCAACCTAATTGCAATACAATTTACATACTTACCAGTCACCCATTTAAAGTGCGCATGTAAATGGTTTTTAGTATATTCAGAATTGCAGTCAATTTTGGGAGATTTTTATCACCCTATAAGACTCTCCCCCAGTCATTAGCAGTCACTCTCCATTTGCCCCCAACTCTACCAAACTTTGGCAAACACCAATCTACATTTGTCTCTCAGGAGCTACCTCTTCTGGACGTTTCATGTAAGAGGCCTGATACAATATGCAGTCTTTTGTGTCTGGTTTCTTTCACTCAGCATAACGTTTTCAAGGTTGAGCCATGTTGTCGCCGATGGCAGGACTTCATTCTTGTTATGGCTGAGTAATGGCCCATTGTGCGCACAGACCCCATGTTGTGTGTCCGTTTGTCCGCCGGTGGGCCTTTGGATTGTCTCCCCCTTTGGGCTGTCATGAATAATGCTGCCGTAAGCATCCATGTACGCGTGTTTGGTGTGGGCATATGTTTTCATGTCCCTTGAGTTCGTACCTAAGAGTGGATTGCTGGGTCAAACGTTTAAACATTGGAGGAACTACCAGACCGTTTCCCAAAGCAGTGGCGCCGTTTCGTATTCCCGCCAGCAGTGTATGAGGTTCCAGTTTCTCCACATCCTCGCCAACACTTGCTGTTATCTGGCTCTCTTATTCTAACCATGCCAGTAGGTATGAAGTGGTGTCTCATTGTGGTTTGATTTGCGTTTCCCTCATGGCTGATGATGGTGGGCATCTTTGCATGTGCTTATTGGCCATTCATATGTTTTCTTTGGAGCAATGTCTACTTAAGTCCTTTGCCCATTTTAAGAATTGGGTTAATTTGTCTTAGTATTGACTTGTAGTTTTTTATGGTCTAGACACATGTCCTCATCTCGGCTCTGTTGGTGCCTGGAACTGGAGGCCAGGGTGGGGGTGGGGCAACAGCCTAAACTTAAAATGGCTCTAAAAAAGAAAGTCTACTTTCAAAATGTATAAAAATCCAGAGGACGAGCAGGTTTGGAAGAAGATAATGAGTTTAGTTCTGAGCCTGGGTTTCTGCTCTGCCCCCAGCCTGGAGCCACCATGGAGGTGGGGAGATGACCTGGAATGGGGTACAGGGGGCAGGAGCAGGGAGGAGCCTGGGGTTGGGGGGGCCGGTCCCTCATTTATAGGTGAGGTGGAAAGGAAAAAGCAGAAAGCCATGAACCAGGGGCTTCCAGGCAGAGAGTGTGGCCTGTAGGGTCTAAACAATCGCCCATCCTTTGATATTATTCGTCACAGCATGGCTTATAAGTTTCTTTTTAAAGTGCTCTCGCTTCAGGAGCTGATGGAAAGAAACCCCACAGCACTGCCCAGGATTTTAGACAGTCCTCACAAAATATTTATTTTCTAATAAAAGCGGTTAATCACACATAGAAAAAATTTTTTAATTACCTCACACTTGTCTGTCTCACCAATATTACCCTTCACACCATATGTGTTGTGTTATGATGTAGAGGCTCACTTACCTTTACAGGAAATGAACCGACAGGGAAGACGGTATTGTAGGGGAAAACTGACGTATGTCGTTTAAAGACAAGCTTATGAACTTGGTTTCTGTCTCGGTACAATTCTTTAACATTGAAAATGAAGCGTTTGGGGAAAGATGGTTCCCATTCTACGACCTTTGTTATTTTAGTCCAAATGACTGGAAGCAGCTGTGTTGAATAACAAACTTTCTTGAAGTATTCGAAAGGTTGAAAGTCCAAAACCTGGCATTTATTTTGAGTCGTCCCTCCCCTGTCCCCGCTCACAGGTGCCCTCTCTTCTCGCTCTCCTGCTGCTGCTCTCAGGAGGCATGTCTGCTCCGTCCTCGCCGCCCGCCGGGCTGTTAGGGAGGGTCTTCCAGTACATCGACCTCCATCAGGATGAATTTGTGCAGGTAGGAGAGACTGCACCCTGCAGGCTTGCTGGGGTGCCCTCTGGTATCTGGGTGAATGGTTGTGTGCTCAGAGATGTGGGTTTTTTTTTGTTTTTGCCTGACAGCTTAATTCCATTTAAAATACCTCTGACTCCTTGAATTAAAATAATAAATATCCGTTAGATTTAGGTAAGAGATCCCTCCAAGCCGTTCTCCCTGGAAAGGGTGCTCTGTGTTTCTGGCACATTTGGTTTAGGGGTCCCTTGACCCCTGGCCGGTAAACTCTGATGACCTCATGTTTACTGTGGACCATCCTCAGATCACCAGTCCTCCCCTCCAGAGGGTCCTCGCTGAGGTCCCGTCCCCGCCTAAACCTTGCTGACCGCATCCTAGAGTAATGCCTCCTGGCAGCAGCAGCTCTAGGTCCAGACAGAGTTCTGCCAAGTTCAGTGTCTGAGCTGCTTGTTTTGTAGTCTCCGTGCAACACGTGCTTTTCCTCCTCCTGTTTAATCCTCTGCTTCATTCCTGTCTCACCGCGTGGCACATACATGGGGGCTGGAGACGGAGAGGGAGAGCTAGGAGCAAAGGGAGAGGGGGCTGCCTGGGGAGCAGAAAGTTGGGGGGTGGCAGAAAGTTCTGCACCCACAGTCTCGCCTGCAGCCCCTCGGCCCCCCCGCCCCCGCCTCACGCAGAGCCCACACCAGAGCCCAGACTCCCTGGGGTTCCCCTGGACTTTGTACCCTGAGTCCCCACACCATGCCTGGCACATGTGCTCCATATATGGTTGTAATTTGATCAACAGATCGATGTTGGGACTATCATTGGACATTTAGGTGTGAAACCTTTGTGCGAAAGCACAACGCTGAGCGTCCAGGCCGCTTGACCTTCGTGGATGCCCTCCTCACGTGGGAGCATGAACTTGACCTAATGCCTGTTGCATGTTTGAAGCCCGAGTGGGGTTTCTGATGTAGGCTGGAATTGGGGGGGTGGGGTCGGGAGAGAGGAACAGCGTGCAGGGAGCGTGTGCTGATTGGGCCTTTCAGCTAAGAGCGGCCTCTTTGCAACGTCCTGTAATGTACCCAGTTCATTCAATTTATGGATGACTTGGCAGCATCTGCTTTGTAAACTCTAGTTTTCAAGTGAAAACAGCGTTTCTTATGGTGAAATAAATTTCTGTACAATAAAAACAAAAATGCTACAAGCGGAATAGAGATCAGAGTAAAACAACATAGGATATCCAAGACCCGTCACCCAAACGTGTGGTTTTAGGAGAAATGTGGCCGTCCCAGTACGAGTGGCTCGGGTACCAGTCCCGGAGCTCACCGCCTGTTGGCGGTACCTCAGCATCCCCTGGCGACGCCTTCTTACACGCACGGGTCCCATTCAGCCCTCACGGGGCAAAGCTTGCTCTCCCACGACCCCACTCACTCTGTGCCCAGATGTGTGGGTTTTCCACACAACAAGCAGTTCTCCAAGCCTCTCTGGACACCAACTGGGCGGCCTCCAGTTTGACCCACTTCTGACACTGTCTGCCTGTAGTTAGCCTCCCCCACCACCACCAGTCGACTTCCAACGCCAGTCAGGACACTTCTGTCCAACTCGGCCTCAGATGGGGGCGGTTGTTACCTCAATGCCCAGCCTATCTTGCTTCCCTGGACACTGGGGGGCAGGGCTGTAAGTTCCTCGCCTCTAATCATAGCTTGGCCTCTCTGGTGACCCCCCCATCCAGGAGCCCACCAAAACTTACCCTATTAGCACACAATATGCTCCCACCCCCCAGGAAATCATCCCCCAGGGAGGTAGGAGGTCCGTCCGGGTCAGGAGCCCGAGGCAGACAGCAAACACTAGTACCAGAGGTGGCCCTGCCACCTGCGTCGCCAGAAGTTATGCAAGTTTTTGGAGCTCTGGCCAAGAGCTGGGACAGAGGCCAAAATACATATTTCTGATAGTATCACTGTCACACTCGCCATAATCTGCAGTGATACATCATCACTGTCCTTGAGCAGATGAGAAAGCTGGGGCTGAGAGTGAAAGGAACAGACTCCAAGTCAGCCACCCAGCGCTAACGGGCAGGGCCAGGACTGGGAACGAAGGAGTGTAAACCCTGGGTTTCACTCCCTGCCGGGTCCCGGAGGAACAGGGGTGGCCGACCACAAAAGCTAAATGGATAGCACCATCAGGAGGAGCCTGCACCCCGGCCGAGGCCACCTTGAGGTTAAATCAGCACAGGCATTGGTGGGAAGCCAAGAGCCCCGAGTGGGGGCGGCTGGGGGTGGCCCGCCAGCTGCTCTCGTCCTGAATGACTAGAGACGCTGGGTCAGAACCTGCCCTTCTTTGCAGCCCTGGGAGACTCACGGGGTCACAGGCCCAGGGGTTCAGGAAGACCGCATTTTATGCAAAATGCCCCTCTGCATTCTCCTTTTACTAACCGCTGGCTCTGGCCTCTGGGCTCCTGGTCGCACCCTCAGCTTGACTGCCTGTGATTTAGACATCACGGGTCTGCCAGCTCAGTCTTCAGGTCAAATGAAGGGCATTGGGGGCTCGCCGCCTCCTGTCCTGCTGATCGGCGCCTGCCTTTCCTCACAGACTCTCAGGGAGTGGGTGGCCGTTGAGAGCGACTCCATCCAGCCCGTGCCTCGCCTCAGACAAGAGCTCTGCACCATGATGGCCCTGGCTGCAGACGAGCTCCGGCGCCTGGGCGCCAGCGTGGACATCGTGGACTCGGGCTCTCAGAAGGTGCTGGGCGGTCCCCTGTCTCCCCACAACCAGCTGCCACTTCCGTGCACTTTGGCCATGGCCTCCCTTGGTGGTAGCAAGAGAGGTGTGCCCTGATTTTCAATAAAAATACCCCCATAATCTCTCTCCCCAATGAGGATGAAAAATCCCTCCAGGCCCCAAATGAGACTGTCGTGTTGATGGCCCATCCTGCCTGGACTTGGGGCTGGGGTGGGGAGTGGCGGCCGGCTTGTTTTGGAAAGGGCCCTGAACTAGTCACACCCTGCACGCATGCTTCAGATTTCTGCCACCCCGTCCTTCCCCTGAACCCCTGAAGCTCCAACTCGTGTTCCTCAGAGAACCCAGCCTCTCACCAGAACCCTCGCCTGTTACTGTCATCCTGTCACAGACGGCCATCTTAAATCTCAGCGCTCAATGCCGCCTGATAGCACTGGCGAGTCCCCAGACGTCTGTTTCCAGCAGTGCCCACCACAGCTGAGCTAGTTGAGCCTGAATTCCCACCAACGAGCACGTTCAATTAAGTGTCCTGTTTGCCACGCTGTATCCAAGGAAGTGCTTTGTATGAATTGTGTCTCACATTTTAATTAAAAGCGTCTCACAGTGCCCACCTTGGAGCTGGATAAAGGATGATCATAAAATGGTGTGGGCTCTACAGGACCCAGTGGTAGACTGCTAGTGCCGTGTCTTTGACTTTTCTGGAAGGACGTAAAAGCTTTTTTTTAAAAATGTGGTCCCTTTTCCTTCTGCAGCTACTTGATGGTCAGACTCTCCCCATCCCTCCTGTCATCCTGGCTGAACTGGGAAATGACCCAGAGAAAGCCACTGTGTGCTTCTACGGCCATCTGGACGTACAGCCCGCTAGACAGGAAGATGGGTGGCTCACCGACCCCTACACGCTGACGGAAGTGGACGGTCAGTGATGCACCGACATGGGGGTGCTGGGTTCTTCTGCGGATGAGGGACGGTTCACAGGGCTTAAGAATTTAAGACGTGCCTCCTGTCCCTGGCTGCAGGTCCCCGCCTGTCATTAGGAGTCAACGCTATGCCGCTATCACGGTCCGCAAGTCAGTCCAGTGAGGCTGATTGTCTTTCCTTTGTGAAAGGAGCTGTGAGCCTCTGGGCCCCTGGGTGAATTAACTCCCCAGGACGGGGGTCCTTGGGTTGTGAGGAAAATAGTTGTCTAGGTCACATGTTTTCTTTTAAAAATACCAAATGTAATCTTTTTTAAAGAACAGAAGATTAACGGAAATACACATGCACCCTGTTTTCATTCTTCTGCTGATTATAAAATCTCAAAATGAGAGGCTCTGGTACATGATATTCTGTAAGAAATCCTCGGGTCCTTTTCAATGAACTTGGATAGAATAGCTAATTACTGTTCAGGCCAAAGGACCCGTATGTTTCAAATTAGCCTGCATTGTCTGCCTAGCTGATGGCCATACTGTTTGTACATAAGGAGTCGCACTTGGCGATTTCGGAGCAAGACTTGTGCCTGGAAACATGGGAAGCCCAGTTAGAGTGAGAACCCATAAAACCGCCTTTGTTTTTAAGTCACTCAACTGGGCAGAGGTGTCCATGCCTTTCTAAAATTCTTCCTCCATTTTTAAAGGAAAACTTTACGGACGAGGAACAACAGACAACAAAGGTCCTGTTTTAGCGTGGATTCACGCTGTGAGCACGTTCCTAGCGCTGGAGGAAGTAGGTGACCCGTGATGTTTGCGGTGACGATGATGATGGTGGTGGTACAGGCAGGGTGCTTTGAGTCACTCACTGTGCCCCAAGCTTTCAACTGAATTACATCCTTTACTCACCCCAGCAGTCTTTGGAGGTGTGTGTTACAATCACACCCCGTTCCAGATGAGGAGAGCGAGGCTCGGGCAGCTTGGGGGACTTGCACAAGAGCCTGGGCTGTTGACCACATTGAAGACAAAACAAAACCGTGATAGGTCTGTGGCTGAGTTCCTCTCTGCTGGGACTTGAGTTTTTTACTTTCATCTTACTTAACCTTGTCTTTTTTTTATCTCCCCCTCCTTGTTATCACAAAGTATGGTTTTATTAATAGAGAGAAACATGCATTTTAAAAAGTACATTAGCTACTTGGCCGGTTATCAAGATAGAAGCCCCTGGTAGGTGACATTCTGTCTGAATCCTTAGGCCTCTCCCCATTCCTGTCGAAAGCAGCTTTCACTAGGTGTCCAAATGCAGGTTATAGAAAGGTTGGGGTGCTGCTTTGAGGAGGGGCTCCCTCTTTCAGGCCCCAGGACGATATGGGTGGGCCCAGGTTTGGGTCTTGAGCCGTTTCATGTGATGTTGTCACGAGGATGCTTGCACCTCACAGCTCTCTTCTCTTGTTCTACCGAATGCACTTGGACTCCGCACGGAGCATTCGGTCTAGCTGTGTTACCGTGGGCAGGGCACTTAATCTCTCTGTGAAAATGGGGGTGTTGATGGGGCTGGCCAGCTCTCTGGCCCCATGTTTCCCTGACGGGTACTTCCATTTCACACAGAGATGGCCCATCTGGTGAGTGAGCTCCAGACAGGACACCCTGGCTCTTGGCCCCCCTGCAGGATTCTGTGGGGCTGACCTGACAATTGTGTAGCCTCGCTGCCTTCCCCTCTTCTCACTGGTGTGTTTGAACTGAAGTAAGCACTTTTGAACACTGGGAATTTAAGGAGGAGGTTCAAGGCTGGACCTCCTCTGCCTGGTCTCCATCTAGCCTCTTCCAGGAACAACTGGGGGAGCAGGGGCCAGTCTCTGGGTGCCATCTCCAAAGGATAAATGCAACGCTAAAGGGAGCACCCCAGCCCAGACCCAAGCCTAGGTGGCACCTCTCCCAAGCCCTGTCTGTCCCCTGACTTGGTGGTAGCTTTTCTTGGAGGTGATTTTCATCAGGTGCCAGGGCTTCCCCTTTCACAAGTTTATGGTCTCCTGCAACACAAGCAGGAGAGAGGGGATTTCACTGCTCTAGACTCAGCTGCTTTCTCTCAACTGAGCAAGACAAGCTCCCTAAAGCAGAGCAGATTTCTGGCTGGGCCCTTTGGCCACCGCAAAGCTGTCATCCCCTGATTTTTGTCGCTCGCACCGAATAAGCCCTGAACATGCAATGCGGCTTTGGTTTCACTCTCTCTTTTTCTCTTTCTTTAATTCTCTCTCTCTCTGCTTTCTTCCTTTCTGTCCCCTCCTTTCTTCTCTCCTTCCCTCTCCCTTTCTGTTTTTTTTCCCTTCTTTCTTAAGAGGAGGAAAGCAATATTTATAAGAAAGCTCCTATATAAAGCCCTAAATTTGCTTTGCCCAGAAATTTCAACCCTGAAACTTAATTAAAAACAAAACATAAGAAATATTCATTCGCCACCCTTGGGCAAGTCAGTCCATTCTCTCTAAGCCTTATTTTCCTTGGGTTAAATGAAGTAACGCTGCAGCTCCTGGAGCGCTGGGCCCTTTATGCGTGCTGGTTTCTTCTTTCCGGGGGCCCTCCGGCCCTCCCATCCTCCTGTCCTCTCCTCCTCTCTCACACACACATCACTAAACACGCACCACCCACTGGGGTCTCACCACGGGGCAGAGCACGTATCAATGGCAGGAAGGTACAGACAGAGTAGTGAGCTGCCCAGTAGTGACGGGGCCTATCCGGGGTCCCTCGGGTGCCAGGGCGCAGAGCAGAGACCAAAGCCCAGGCCTGGCTGCTGGTCCACCTTCTTCCGACACTTAGCAGCTACTGGCTCGTGTTTTCTTAATCACGTTTTGCCAGCAAATCCTTCAATTTTCCAATTACTGCTCAGCAATTGTTTGCTTGTTAAATGATAATAAACAGCCTTCAACATTAGGCTTCCAGAACTTTAGCTCGACTCCTTAAGACGCACAGAAATGTGTGCAAGGGATGCATTTGAACAAATCATTATCCCCACATGCCCTTAACCAACGGAGGGTCCGAAGGTCACGTTCTCTAATACATAATCCCCCACTCATCCTGCCTTTGTTAATCTTTGGCAAGTCGATCCCACTCATTAGAACTAATCAGTGTGTTTGTGCTGTCATTTGTCTGCGTATAATCACTTTTAGAGTCCCCTGTGTGTGTCTTCTGCCCCAGGAAGCGACTTTGTCCTCGCTTCTTCACGTGGCTCTCAAAGATATGAAGTTATAAATTATAGAGATACAATAAGATCAAAACCAAAGGGGGGTGGGGAGGGCACATTGTCAAAAATTTAAAGGATCTATTCCGTGCCCTAATATTAACTAGACAAAAACTCACGTTCCATTTTGCTGCAGGATCAAAGCCTCTGAATAAGTTAAAAGGCAGATTGAACTCATAGCTGAAAAATAACAGACACTTGAAATGAAAATTATCCCGGGGCTTATACATTAGACAGTCTTTCAAAGGAAAGGGTTCTTTATCATGCTCAGAATTATGAGCACAGAGAAGAGATTTGTAACTGAGTAACCCTTCCTGAAAAATTCCTTCTGGGGAGAAGGAAGAAAGTGTCTGTCTGCGGTGGCCCCAGGGGCTTGTAATGCGATGTTGCTTCTTTAGAAATCCCTTCCCCAAACCCTTTCTCAACACTTCTTGAATGTGTATACACTGGGCAGTGCCTCAAATTCTCCTTCACAATCTGAGTTAAAACTCCTTTGCTATAAACAGAGCCGATGGGAGTGTGAATAATCCATATATTGAATGCATATAAAAATTTAATGTATTTGTGTGAAATACACACCAATCCTGGATCCCAAAAGGTGAATGGTCAAGTTGTGAGATTTTTTTGACAGAAGGGTTTGTTCCACTGTTAATTCAGGATCTCCCCGTGAATCTCAAGTTCATCGTGGAAGGGATGGAGGAAGCCGGGTCTCTGGCCCTGGAGGGACTTGTCAGAAGAGAAAAGGACCGGTTCTTTTCCAGCGTGGACTACATCGTGATTTCAGATAACCTGTGGCTCAGCCAGAGGAAGCCAGCCCTCATTTACGGCACGCGCGGGAACAGCTACTTCACGGTGGAGGTACTGGCCTCCTGCAGTGGCACCCAGGCAGGGAGCCATCCTGAGGGCTTGGAGGGGAGGAGCAGAGGCTCTCAGGAGAGCTGACGGTGCTCCCCTGAAGCGTGGCCTGGGGGACTGCAGGGGTCTTGGCACTGGGGGTGACGGGTTCCATGAAGCCACCCACCCTGGGAGTAGATATGCTTTGCACATTTTCTTGGAAAGAGGATTCAGAGGGGTTGTGACCCACAAGCCCTAAGTTCAGGAACGACAGCTATGGAATTTGGAGTCAGGACAGCAGCCCCTGGGGATAAGGAGGCTGGCTATCAAGTACAGGGGATGCTGTGAGGGGAACGGCACCGGCTCCCTGGTGCCTGCCTGCCGTGCGCGTCCTGGGTGGAGGGGACGGGGCGCTGGCATTGCAGAGGCCTGCATCCGAATTCCAGCTCCTACTGTGTCCATACAGCCCCGTGTAGGCACCTTAACCTCTGAGCACAGTAACCACCCCCCACCATCCCCCTAGGGTTGTTGGGATCACTATGTGTGACATCTCGTCCAGGTCTGACGCGTAGTTAATTTCCTTCACCTATTTGTCAATACTGACAGCCCGTGATGGAGCACACAGTGTGGGGTCAGCAAGTCCCTCCCTGGGAAATCGTCACTTATAGTAGGCACCCCATCCACGCCCGGCTGTTGTGAGAATCCAGTGGGGTGGGAAGATGAAGCACTCAGGCATTTGCGTGCACTTGAAAAACAGTGTGTGCCCCGAGTGTGCCAGACACGACGATACAAGCCCCGGGGAGTGCAGGCCCTGCCCTCAAAGCGCTTACTGCCAGGGGACACAGGTGCCTAAGGAGATGACGTGGGAGTGAAAGGGGGGAGGAAGCAGCGGTGGTCCTTGGAGAAACCGCACTCAAGAAACTTGGCCTTGAAAAGAAGGAGGAGATTGGATGGTCCTGGAAGGAGCATAGCAGCAGAGCACCTTGAGGAGGCAGTAGGAAGGCTCCGAGGGAGGGGGCATTTGTGAGAACAAGGGCACCCAGGGGTGGGGGGTGAGGTCCTGAGCCCAGTGAAGGAATTTGCCTCTTCTGTGAGGGTGTAGGGCGGTTGTAGGTGCAAGGTGGAGTCACAGAGATGACAGCTGATCCCCTGTAATTGGCCTCTCTTTTTTTTCCCTGTTGAGTAGGAAGGAAGTTTATGTGCTGAGAAGTGCTTGCTTGAAATGGGGATGGTTGAGGAATGGACTGGAGCATAAAGACGCGCCAGCAGGATTAGGGGTGCAGGGTCACCTGTCCATGCAGCTGGATGATTTTTTGCAGCTGTGCCCAGTAGCCAGGGATGGAGCAGGGCGAAGTGGGCAGGGCTGATCTGGCAGTGACATCATTCCAGATGGTGTGGTGGAGGAAGTAGGGAAAAACAAATCAAGATGTTGACCACAGAGAGGCTGAAGTGATAAACTATGGCATTTAAGTTGAACAGGTTGGAGAGAGACGGGAGGACCACAGGTGGGGAAATCTTGGGTGGTTTAGGCGACTGGATGTCTTGATGAGGCCAAGAGCAGGAGGAGTGTAGGATGGTGACCAGGGAGCCAGGAGGACAGAAGTCATGACCAGAAGGTGGGACAGGGAGCCTTATAATTTCAGAGGTGGGCTCTGCAGACCCCATGTGCCCTGTCAGTATTACTGCCTAATGCAATCAAGGTCTCAAGCTAAAGTGACTGAACATAAGAATCATCTGGTAGGGAAAGACCAACTTGGCAGGAAAGATGGGAGGGAATGAATCGGAGACAATTATAAAAACTCACTAGACCTTGGTCACAGGCAGGATATGGTGTGTGCAGGAGAACTCCAAGATAATTTTCAGGTGATGGATTCACAGGGCTGGGGACTTCCCTTGTTTTGGGACTGGGCAAGCTGGTGGAAAGTCATCGCAGGGGGAGACAGAGTTAACGTCCAGGCCTGAATTTCAGAAAGTGGGAGCACAGCGAGGTGCCATGCACCGCAAGCATGAAGGTGTGTAGGTCTGGTGAGTGGGTAGAAGGTCAGGCCTACGGGGATGAACACTGAAGAGCATGGAGGTCGCAAATGAAATCCAGCGAGTTAGTTCTCGGAGCTCCGGGTATAGAGGAAGAATGCGCCCCCCCCCCCGATTAAGCCACATGAGCGGGAGACAGAAAGCAAGTTATTAGAGGACACATAAATAGAATTGTCCTGCAAGCAAGAAAAAACTAAAGAGAAGGAAGTTTCTCAGGAACCGCGGGAGGAGAACTTTTCTGGAAGGAGGGTGAGGAACAGATGGGGTGAAACCAATGGATAATGATGGCATAACCATAACAAACTGGGTGATCTTGGAGAGAACTGTGTTCGTGGAATTGGTGGCCGCTCAAGTCAGTTTCAAGGGATTTGGGACACAGTGGGAAACAAAGACATGGGAGGCATAGACGCTCCCAGTCATGTGACTGGAAAGAACGAGAAGTGACATTGGGTTGGCCACCTGAGTCCTGAGGGTCCCCGCAGGGCGTGTTGTTCTCCCCGTGAGAGCTATTGCTAAAGCCACGTTGGTGGGAAGCACCTGCCTTCTCTTTGACTTGTCTTACAGGTGAAATGCAGAGATCAAGACTTTCACTCCGGAACCTTTGGCGGTATCCTTAATGAACCCATGGCTGATTTGGTTGCTCTTCTTGGTAATGTCTTGTTTCATTTCACTTCTTAAACATCAAGCGATCTACTAAAACCTAGTTCTATCTGACCCCGTGTGTCTCTCCCTGGGTTTCCTAGCCAGCTCTGAATAAGGTCGGAGTAGAAGAAAAAACATATTCTTAGCTCCCCGGCTCCCTCGGCTAAACGATCCTTAGGCTTATGAAGTCCGTGTTATTCCCTTTCGTGGACTGAACCTCTTCCTGACTCTGCTCCTTTTTTTCTTACTGGATACTGTGACACATCTGGCCATACTCAAAGGATAATAGTATAGCACTGAGAGCCTCCTGGAGAGGCTTCTAGAGGTGATGCCAAATATACCGGCACCACTTGGCTTCCTTGTTCCAGGTTGCTACAGCCCCAAGTGGCTCAGAGACTCCAATGGGTTTACTCATCACTCCTGCTCCTGACCTCCTGTAGACTGCCTGGTGTCTGCAAGTGGAAGTTAGTGTGTGTGTGTGTGTGTGTGTGTGTGTGTGTGTACGCATGTCCAGAGAGCCCACCTTGATGTACCCTGAGGTTCTTGCCTACGTCAGGACTGCCAGGCAGCTGGCGGGATTACCAGGAATTGAAGGAGGCTTCATCTGGCAGGGGTTCCTTCCACAGTCCTGGCAGGGTCACTGCACTTTTATATTCATAATTTGGTGTTCTTGTTAAAAAGAGATTCTCAGGTTACATAAGCTTCAGACCCCCACAATACCTGGGTCGGTCTCACCTGCACGGAAGGCACCTTTATACAAATTTTCAGCGTGCCCCTTTGGGGCAGACAAACTTCCAAACAGCATGCCCTCTATGGCGATCGTTCAGCAAGTCTCTCCTTTTTCCATGTTGACCCAGCTCTTCTCTGCTGCCTTGCATCTCCTTGGCCTTGGCAGTCTCAGGGCCCAATCAGCCCACCTGGCCGACCTGGTGGGAGGTCGTCTAAGGGTCTTCAGCATCATCTTTAGTTGTAGAGGGTCCTGCTCCTTCTTTCCCCAAATTAAGTAATGAAATCTGTCTGTCTGTCTATCTATCTATCTATCTATCTATCTATCTATCTATCTATCTATCTATCTATCTATCTATCTATCATCTGTCTATCATCTATCTATCTATCTATCTATCTATCATCTATCTATCATCTATCTATCTATCTATCTATCTATCTATCTATCTATCTATCTATCATCTATCTATCTTTCATCTGTCTATTCTATCATCTATCTATTCTATCTGCCTATATCTATCTATTGTCTACCTCGTATATCTATCTATCATCTATCTATTCTTCTATGGCCTTCTAGAAGATTTTTCTAAAGTTTAACTCATGGACAGTATTTTCCATGCTTGACAATTTCAGACAGAATACAATAACCCATTTTCTTCTAAAGTGTTTATATTGTTTCCAGAAGAATTCAGATAGCATGCAACTGAATATTTTTTGGGGGGGAAAAGAGGTCAATTCTCTATTTTACCGGAACTAATTTTCTCTTCCCTAGGAACGGCATCTTCTAATCTTTACAGTGCATTTCGATTCCCCCCAAGCATGATTGCTACTTCCCATCTTTCCAGACTACATGGTTTCACCCGGGCACAGAACTCCATTTAGCCCCACAAATGTTTATTGCTGTGCTGAGAAAAGTCTGCTCAGGGTCACGGATGGAATGAAAAGCACAGGGTTTCACTTTCTTTCATTTTTAAGACAGATAATCCATAGCACAGTGATTCTGGGCTGTGCCCTCTGTATGGGTTTCATTGGCTTTGTGCAAATACAGGAGGAGGTAGGGCTGAAGGCTCTGTGAGGACCGATGCATTACACCTGGCTGCTGGACACCTGTCACGTTCCAGGCACCGCATGAATGTTGGGATGTGACGATACCTAAGACCCCACCTTCCATTAACAAGGTCACTATCTCTGACCACACAAAGCTAAATAACAAATGTGACCCCACATGAATGGACCAGCAGGTGGCTTGGCTCTGTGTAGACACAATGAAAGCCAAGGAAATCATCTTATAAAAATCTACAGGGATGGCAGTGGTGCAACACGCAATGGGGTCCCCAGCGCTTTGAGACAATCATGGAAAGAAAAGTCCTGAGGGTTGAGGGTGTCTGGCAGCACAATGTAAGGGGAAGACTTCACTGTTCTGGCTTTCAACCACATCCTCCTTATCCCCTACCCCCCCACCCGGGTCACCCCCGGGACTTGGCCCAGACTTGCATAGCTGCACTTTGGGGACAGTCCTGCAGACTGCTAGGCAGGCATCAGCCTTCCCGTGATCCTGAGCTATGGAATTCCCCTCATTTCACTCAGTAAACATTGTATATTAGATAAATACACAAACGCATGGGTCAAATTCAAGTCTAGAAGCCAGCTGGGCACCAAGTGACTGGGACTGGCTGTCACTGATGTGCAGCCCACCGTCTATCGCCCTCATCAAAACCAAACAGCACAACACTCCCCACCCTCAACAGCACAACCACACAGCTTTCCCCTGGTGTGTGTCCCCAGGCTCGTGGGCACTCTTGAAGGCAAGGACACAGGTGCCTGGTTTTGCATGCCACGCTTTGTGGCTGTCAGCTCTGACGGAAAGGTCAGCAAGTGCCGCACAGTAATTTCGGCCGTCATCTAGCTATAATCCCATTAAGACTGGAGCATGTGTTGATCGGGTGTCTTTACTTGAATAAAAGTCCCCAGATGGATGGAGGAGGAGTTCAGTTGCCCTGGAAACGTTTTCCATCATCTATGTTCATCTGCTTGCTGGGTACTTTGTGTCTTTTGGTCTCAAGATGGCGAGAGCGGTGTTTACAAGGCCTCAAATCTGCTTCTTTTAGAGATATTCTCTGAGGACTTCCCCCATTTGTCTTAACCCCAGAGTCTCTCCTAAAGAGCGCACTTGGTGTGCCTGCTTACCGCTGCCAAGGCTTTCACGGTCATGAGTGTACACGAGACCCCGAGGACATGATGCTTCTGGGTCAAGACAAGCACGTATCACATGGTCATGGTGCGTAGCGGGAGAGGAGCTGAGAAGGGGTGATGGCTTTCAGTTTCTCAGGCATGTATGTACAGACATGCACATAGATATTTCACATTGTTAAACAATGAACACATTTTTAACTTAGGATAAGAGAAAATTTTTAAAAAGAGCCTCGTTTATGATACAAGAGGCACAGCTGAGGGCTTGAATGTAACGCAGGTGAGCCACACCCGGTCAAATTTACTACACATCTATGTTTTCATCCCTCTGTTCACAAGGTGGATGTTGAAACAGGTTCGCCGCAGGCTGTGTCTGCTTTGGTGACCAGCTCCCATCTGCGACCGTCACCTCCAGGGTGTGAGTTGCTGCCAGTGGCCCTGCCATGGGGACCTGCTGCCACCACAGGAGAGTCACCCACGGCCCTGGTGCAGGGCCAGAGCCTCCCTCAGCACACTCGTGACATCCGTGGGGCATTGTTTTCTGTGTGCTCCTTGTAGGTGGCCTTGTAGACGCATCTGGCCATATTCTGATCCCTGGAATCTACGACCATGTGGCACCTCTCACAGAAGAGGAAAAGGAAACGTACAAAGCCATTGAGCTGGACCTAGAAGAATACCGGAATAGCAGCCAGGTGAAGAAGTTTCTGTTTGACACCAAGGTATGTCCGCAAGATGATGGGTATCTGATGAGAGTGACAACACCAGCTCCTGTTTTCCCAGCACTGGGTTTACTGTGCAGCTGCTAATCTGTACCTCTCAGAACCCAAAGCAGTTGTTCTTTCTGAAGCAGATTTTAACTTTCATGGCCCTTCCCCGTGGTCCAGATCAAGCAGACCTTCATCGGGGCTCTGTAACCACAAGGCAGTCACTCGTGTCAGAGCCCTGCTTTTCCAAATCTGTCTGTTAGACTCAGTCCCACGCCAGCCTTCAGCCAGGGAGCTGCGCTTCTATCTGTTTAAAGATTGGGAATAGTCTGCAATTATTCTGGCTCCAAGACCCCTAACCGTTCACTTTTCTGGTGAATCCAAGAGCCTTCAGGGCTGCTCCGTAAATTGCTACATCGCTGCCTCGGTGTCGTAAGTCAACCCTGAGCCAAAAACGTTGGTTAAGGGCAGATTTAGATTGTTTTCTTTTTCCCTTCTCCTTCTCTTCCTTCTTTGTACCTGCACTGCTTTTGGGAGCTATGGAAAGTTCCTGGGGGAACTGGCAGGAGAGGGAGAAGCCATGCTGAACAGGGTGGTGGAGTTCATTATTGTGAAGTCTGTCTCTCCCCTCAGACTGGCTCTGCAGTGGTCATAGCAAGAGAGAAAGCTGCCTCAAATGTCTGCCGCATTCTCTGACACTTTCTGAAAAACAAATGCATTTCGTGCACAAGCTGTCATTGTGATGATTGGGCATAGAAATGTATCATTGACTCAAATTTCTGGAAGGGCCCCTTTGCCGTCCATTTAATAACTGCGAACTTCAGAGCTCGGGTGACGAGGGGCCCTTGTCACTGGGAGCAGCTTGGGCAGGTGATGGCAGCACAGGACCCATGTTCAGGGGGCAAAGTCCACCTGTACTATTAGCCCAGACATATCTAAGTCAGGTGAGAATTAACTTGTCACGAATGCTATCGCAGGTGGGCAGAAATCGGTGATACAGGCAATCCAATTCAACTGAGTTTTAATGAAACATTCTTGTATACAATAAAATAAGTTTCTCTTAATTTAGGAGGAAATTCTGATGCACCTTTGGAGGTACCCATCTCTTTCTATTCACGGGATTGAGGGTGCATTTGATGAGCCTGGAGCTAAAACAGTCATACCTGGCCGAGTTACAGGAAAGTTTTCCATCCGCCTAGTCCCGCACATGAACACGTCTGTGGTGGAGAAACAGGTAACGGGCCTTCGTCGCTCTCCTGCCTGGCAGCACCGTGTCTGATGGCGCGTGACCCAGCTCAGGGAGCAGCTCAGCGGCTGGCACTGAAGTACCATTTTTAATTCTCCCCAGTACAGAAGGGACTCGAACACATGTCAAAAGGCCAATATAATATTGGTTCGGTAAAAAATCCCCACAAAACTCTCCTTCCTCAATTGTATGCAATTACAGTAGTCAGGTAACTAAGCATTTGGAGTTAGAGTGATGGGAAATTTTCAAAAAGTAAACGGTAGCTGTAAAGGCAAGCTTGGTTTTATATACAGATGAAGACGTTGACCTCCTACGGCTGGATGGAGCCGGAAAGTCTCCAGCCCCAATCCTTAGTGTGTCCATGTGTCCAAAATGAATACTTTGGCAGAAGCTATTTTAAAGAAAGTGTTATCTGGAAGGAGTGATACGTCTGAGTTATCCAAGCTATCGGGTTACCTCGAGTTTAACAGGAAGGACTGAATAAATGAGCTCAAGAAATACCTCAGCCCGACCTTCTCCAGACCCCTGTCCTCTGTTATCCTGCTAATTACATCGGAAGAGACCCTCTCAGCTCCCCCAGTTTCCTCTCCCCTTCCCCACCCTCCCTTTTTGGAAGTATTGTCCCTTTTTCTCACAACACACATTCCCTGAGGGCAGGACTTTGTCCATTTTGCTCACAGCAATATCCGAGCACTTAGAACACTTTTTGCCGCAGGACAGGTGTCCAGTAATCGCTTGTCGAATGAATGGAAGAAATGCTTCAGGGTACGGAGTTTTTCTGGGAGGATTTCCATGGTAGTAACTGGGATGGAGCCCAGGGGAAAGAGAAGCTCGCTGACAACGAGGCTCTTTCACAGCTCAGCGTGGAATTATTCCCGTTTTTCATAAATTTCCAAATCTTAATATTCCCAAAATATTCATTAAGATACTGGTAGCCCAAAAAGAGGGATATTCAGTTTGAGAAGCTGTACTTGTATTGTTTCATCATCACCAAACATTTGTAATATTCATACTATGAATGTTACCCATATTGTCATAATTACCCAAATTCATAATAACCAAACACGAACACTCAGACACTGTGGTAAGGATGGGGCAGGACTGGGGTTGGAGGGTCTCCCCGGGGAGGGAGAGCCAGCGTTTGTCCTCCTGGGTGCAGCCCTCTGTCCTGGAGACCCGGTCACTCCCTGTCATCCCTCTGGCAGAACCAAGGTCAAATCAAACACTTGGACGTGTTGGGTGGGGTTCTCAGTGTTTCTTGATGAAAGACTACTACATATTCATGAGAGGGCCTGGACAAATCTCTCTTCTAATTGATACTGTTACCTTTCAGGTGGAGCGGCATCTGGAGTATGTATTCTCCAAAAGAAACAGTTCCAACCAGATGGCTGTTTCTATGACGCTAGGACTGCTCCCATGGATGGCAAACGTTACAGATAATCAGTATCTTGCAGCAAATAGAGCCATCAAAACAGGTTGGACTTAAGATATTTTGAGTTGCCAGTTTACAAATGGACCGGTGGTTCCCGGGGGGTGGGGGTGGGGGTGGAGGGCAGTGGATAAAGCAGTCCCATTTAAAACTTTGGTATTGGACTGTCCTTTTTATGCTGTATTGCTGAGTGGGAACTGTGCAGGGCACTTTGCAAACACTGTCTCATGAATGTGGTCTCTCACAATATCCTGTACTGCACTCACCCTTCTTCTTGTGATGATGGAATAATAAAATGCCTACGTGATGTGACGAAATGAGGTGAATGACGTGGGCACTGTTTATTTCTGGAATTTTTTTCCATTTACCATTTTACACTGTGGTTGAGCATGGGTAACTGAAACCGCAGAAAATGAAACCGTGGATAAGTGGGGACCATTATTATTAGCAGACCACACCCCTAATAATGGCAGGGCTGGAACTTGAAGTCCAGACCCCCTGGGAGCTCTAACTGGCAGGGTTATCAGTGCACGGCACACGGATGTGAAAACTTGGCGGAGACGCCCACGACTTGGAGCATAGCTTCCTCTCTCCATTGTCCCCACGGCCCCCAGCTGTAGCAGTATTTTACCAGTAAAATTTGGGAAAGAAGAAAAGAGGAACAACAGTTAGGTAAATATGGTGCCAGCTGAAGAGAGAGGTGTGATTAAAACGTCAGGGTCAACGAGAAAGCGGGGTGTAGGAAAAAGGAGCCGTGACGGGCTAGTAGGGTCTGAGCCGAGCTAATAATATCACTCCAATTTTGATTCCCTCTTCTTGGCAATTGTACAATACTTACATAAGATGTGAACACTAGGGAAGGCAGAGTAAGTGGCACATGGGAGCTCGGCACTATTTTTACTAACTTCCCTGTCAGTCTGAAATGAGTTCAAAATTAGAATTGTATTTAAAGATATTTGTTAAAAGTAGGTGGTTGTAAAGAAGACAATCCCAGTTTTCTTTTCGACTCTGTTGACTATCTGAGAATATAAATTGCATGATAGCAAGGTGCTTACTTACCCCAGGCACCTGATGTAATGGTGGTTACTTGGGGGGTGTGGGGGAGGGCAGAGGGGTGGCCTTGTCATTGTTCTATTCAAATGCCTTCTTTTCCTGTGTTTCAGTGTTTGGAACTGAGCCAGATATGATCCGCGATGGCTCCACCATACCAATTGCCAGAATATTCCAGGATGTTATCCGGAAGAGCGTGCTAATGCTCCCGCTGGGCGCTGTGGATGACGGCGAGCACGCTCAGAATGAGAAAATCAACAGGTATCGAGGGGTCGCGGGGGGACACTGCGCTCTCGCTGCCCCAACCTCAGGGCCTCCATCCGTCACCTCCTCACATACCACACACTTTAGGTTGAATGTATAGCATCAAATCTTCCTGTTTCAATTGTAGATTATTCCCCCACCCCCCGTTATTTAAATGAAAATAACACTGTTTTTCTTTACTTCTTTTGTTAGGTGGAACTACATAGAGGGATCGAAATTATTTGCTGCCTTTTTCCTAGAGGTGGCTCAGCTGCACAAGAATGACGTGAATGTTTCAGCTTAGATCTGACCTGCTGACAGAGCCCCCTCTCCCACACCCCTGGACAGAAATAGAGCCTACATAGCCAGAGAATTTGGGTCCACTCAATAATGTTTTCCCTCCCATTTAAAAAGTCTTTGGACATTTGGACCAGTCATAAGGTACTTTAAAGGTACAGACGTTGGAAATGGTTTACCGTCCCGTTGCCCACCTTCCTAAAGTCTTGATTTTTGCGAAGTGCTGCTGCCCTGGCCCCAGAATGGTGAGCACAACAATGGCTCTTCGGTTAGACTCTCCCCTGGCAATCTGATTGGCGTGTCACTCCAGTTTGCACTCCAGGTCCAGAAGTGCTCATGACACACAATCCTTCCAGCCAGGGACAGTCGGCGCTTACTTCACTCTTGCTTTTGCCACATCTCCCTTGTATCTTATTAATGAAAGTGTGGCTATCCACCACTGACTTCCGTGATCTCCCTGTGGGTTCATGTTTAGAGGCGTCACTAAAGCAGGGTACCATGTTAGCCTCTTGCTTCCCTGCACTTATTTCTCCTGCTTCTGAAAAGCTCTGGAATGGACATGGTCAGTGTTCGTATCCACATGCCACTTCGGGTTCCTTGTGTGAAGAGGAGGACTTTTTATCCCAAGCCTCTTGACCGTTGCTGTTAAGGATGCCAGCTGACCCTCCTCTTCCTGTTCTCTTCCTCCCGTCAGTGAAGCCCACCCCCACTCCTCCAGCCTCTGTGCCCATGTCAATGCACCACAGTGGAATCAATCCCGATAGGATTTCGCTCAGCCCACTGGAATTTTACTCAATGACTACATGTAAATTGCTCAAAGCTCTTAATAGCATCAGTGTTAGATAGAGAACTAATCAACCCTGACATCAGTAACACATTCTAAATTTAAAGCCATCAGCTAGCGCTGAATTCATTAATCATTTTAGTTAACTGTCTTGTTGGGCCTGATTGAATTTGAAGGTGTAAACAAACAAGAATGTAATTTTTCTAAGGCTGAGTGTATGTAAACAAATCAATTCAGTCTTTATACAAGCATCATCTAAATCACATTAATGGAGAAGAATTTAAGGGTTTATTAAAAATGTTTCTCTTATGATTCCAAATAAAAACAAAGCAATAACACGTTCCATCCTTTTGTGGGTTCTTGAAGTGCCAGTTTTAAAACTTGCTGTACCTCATTTGAAATGGTTGGACCACAGGGCCAGTGAGTCAGGTGACCCTGGCTCTCATCACTGAGAGGGGACACCAGTGGGGCCTCAGCCTGGCTGGGGGGGGCATGCAAGAAGGGTCCCCTTCTTCTCTGCTGCTAGAGAGCATCTGACCTTGTGGTTGAGTGTTGGCAGGTGTTTGATTTTCTTTCCTATTAAGCTTGGTCCCTCTTTGCTGGATTACATTGCATCCCGTGACATTTTGGGTTTTGTGGGACCTGCCTGGTGTATTTGGCAGAGTTCCCAAGAACTAACTGTGCTAGGGGTTTATGATGGCAATTTACATTTTTAAAAGAGTGTTCAGATTAGTCAATTAACAAAAGCTGGTTGTAAAATATATTGTAACCACATCTGAGCAATGCAACGTCAGCTTTACCATGTCAGGAAGTAATACAATGTATTTACTGGCCTTCACTGCTGCGGAATTCCTGAGACCGGGCGAGCAGGGAGAAGGATGAATGAGGTCGCTGAATCCAGGAGTTTCAACCCTGGGATGCCTGACTCCAGAGCCCGCGTTTTTCTGCCTCCCGGCCACCCCAGCTCTCATAGGTCCCTGAGGATTTTCTGCCAGGCCTGAGCCATCTAGTTACCCAGGTCCTGGTGTGGTGTGGGAGGCAGAAAGGTGTGTCTTCCGTGTTGGTGATGTTCAGAGAGGTAAGAGAAATCTACCCCGTTATTGGCCAGGAGGCCAAATAATCGGTTGTAAGAAGACAAAGAAGTTGAGGATAAAGAAATTTAAATATTTGCTTAAAAATTTTTTATTGAAGAAATACATGCACATGGATAAAAATGATTGCTCAGTGTACCTGCCGAGGGTCTGTTGTGACACCTTGACCAGGAGGGGATGTTACTGTACTGGAGGCAGTGCGTCAGGCTTAGGGGTTAGGACTGTCGGTTGGATTTGGTAGATGCTCTTATGGAAAATACTGAGGACTGGGGTGTGTGTCTGGCTTTCTGTTTTGTTCATAAAGTGCATTGGCCTGGACACCTTGTGTGAGTGCACACTAGACAGTGCGTGAGCCCATCAGTGACACATTGTCTGCACTCGCAGCTCAAGGAAGGCCGTGGACCAAGGACACACAGAGGACCTGGTGTGGCCTCTTCTCATTCCATGTGCAGGGCATCCCTCCCTCGGCCGTCGTGTCTGCCCAGGACGCCCAGGCCAACCCCCCAATCCTGCTGCGTATTTCATAACAGACGCTAGACTCTTTCAACATGGAAACTTTCATCCCTCCTCCCACCCTGTTTCCCCTCTGGGGTTCCCTGCCCTGGTAAATGGACCATAGGAACCCTGAATCTTCTTTGATTCTTTCCCCTTTCAAACCCAATACAATATCCAGGCCAATCAACACCATTTCTCAGCAGCCACCACTTCCACCACTTCTGCGGTCTCTCCCATGGCCTGTAAGCCAAATCCTCTATAACTTTTGGTGGTTAACACAAAAGCTCCTACCGTGTTTCCCCCAAAATAAGACCTAACTGGAAAATAAGCCCTAGCATGATTTTCAGGGTACCTGTAATATAAGCCCTACCCCAAAATAAGCCCCAGTTAAGATCGTCAGCCAGACACGACTGTATTTGAATAAATGTAGATTTTTTTACATGAATAACTGAATAAAATGTATCTTTTGGAGCAAAAATTAATATAAGACCTGGTCTTATTTTTGGGGAAACACAGTACCTAATCTCTTTGCTTCCCCAGCAGACGTCTGCAGTGTACCTGTTACACTGCGGCCTGTGTGTCCCTCCCGCCCCTGCTTAAAACCCTGGAGTAGCCAGCTGGTCTGAGGATGAAGTCCAGCATTGCCACAGGGTCCCAACGTTTGTGTGATCCATCCACATGTGCCACGCCTCCCCACAATTTCAGTAAACTTGAAGCTCTATACCATCAGGTTCCATTTTCCAACTAATCTCTGCATTTCAGGGGCCCAGCAATGTGAACTGCATGCATTAGCTGCTCAATATTTCTTGCCAAAATCTTCCTTTTGATTCTGCAGCTGCAATTTTTGGGGTGTGCCCGGCCAGGTCTGCTGTCACAAGTGGACTTTCAAGTTTATACTCTTCTCTCCACGTCGTTCCTAGTTGACACCATCTTGGGAGCAGCTATTTCTGGGAAAAGCACGTAAGTCACGCTGAAGTGCCACTGACTGATAACGGCTCATGTGTGGCCTCCCAGGCAGCATGGTGTCTTCACAGGGGTCATGCTTCATTCAGAGGCCACAGGCCAGCAGCCTGTGAGCCCCATGAGGATCCCCTCACCTGTTTCATGCAGCCTTCACAACGTCCTAAGCACTTTTGAGTTGGATGCCCATGTTGCAAAATTGACAGACTTCACACAAATAATTTCTCTTGTGCAATTAGAAGACTGGGCAACACTAATCTGCTGTCCCTGCAGGGTGACAGCCAGTTGAGCTGAGGAAACGTGGTGCTAAGTACAGTGCCTGGGCCATAATATGTGCTCAACAAATTTCTTTGAAGTACAATGAGAAGGAAGCTCACAAAAGAAGATGATAATTCTATTCTATTTGGCTTTTCACTTCTACTGGTAGCTACTTTCACTTAACAAAACAAGTCCCCAAACACCATTTTATGATAGGGCCAAATGATTTTCGAATACTCTCCTATTTTAAATATCTAGTTTTAAATGTATTCAATGTCATTTAGCTATTATTTTTTAATGTTATTTTCAAATTTGAATATTAATTGAACATGTAATAGCTAAAGAATTAAGTAATGATTTGAGGTCTTGATTATATAAGATGAAACAAGATATTTGTTTCTGTGATAATGTTCCTATGGTTAGATCAGGCATAGTTATTTATCTGTAATTTATCTGTAATACCACTGCCTTACATGACAAGCAATACCATTTAAACCAAAACCTAATGCTTGCACATATTCCTTCTGTTCTTCCGCTGACAAACTCGGTAACATTATGTTCTATTTTGTAGAGCACTTAACACATAAGAAAGGCAACCTTTCTCCTCATTATATTGAAAATAACTTTCCTTGTTAGGAAGCAAGCTCTGGGAGGCAGAGGCTGGGTTGGGAATATTCTACACTTTGCTCAGCTATCCAAAGGCTCCATCAATTGATGAAATGCAAAGACAGAAATACAGATTTTCTGAAGCAAAATGGTTTTGTTTTTTGTTTTTCCCAAGCATGATGTGGATGTGAATGGATGATAGGTATAATGACTATAATTTCTTAACAGTTATGGTAAGTAAATAAATGCTTCTGAGCTTTTTAAATTTGGGTAGGTTGAAGAGAAAAAAATTCTCATTATGTGAAAAAATTTTATTTAGAAATATTCCAGTGTAATTTGTTATTCAGAATGAAAAAAGATGTCAGAGAAATTATGCCTTTGACTATAATAGAAAATATGGTTTTAAATCATCTCACCTCCCACATTGAAATTCACCAAAGCACTATTCAAAAAGAACTTAGACTTAAAATCCCAGTGTGGGTGGTTAACTATTCCTAGCATACTGTCACTATTACTGTTCGTAGGCATTGGAATATAATGACAGAAAATGCTAATTTAAAGGAAATTAGAACTTTAAAGGGCACTTAAATTAGTCATCAAAGATGATTAGTCACCAAAAATGACCAATGTTTCCTTTCAAATTTTGTTATAATCAAATAAAGGAGGCTATCTAAACTTTGTTTAAAATCCCACTTGAAGAACCAGAAGGCAGAGTTCAGGGTTATTACATCAGCGCAAGTTAAGGGGAGGAAGTTCCTGGAAAGGAGACAGAGTCACAGAGGGGAAGCACCAAATCCTGCGTATTCTGTGAAGCTCTCTGGATGACCTCTAAATGATGCATGTGTGAGGCAGATCTAAGCCTCCCAGCTAAGTCGGAGGAAGTGTGAAGGCAGCCCAAATGACTGTCTGTTAAAACAATAACGATGAACAGCATCTTCAGAGGAACATAACTGAATTCAGAATCTCTAAATTGTATTACTCAAACGTCTAAGATACAACTCAAAATTACTACAGTTAAGAAAGAGGAACACATGACTCACAGTCAAGAGAAAGGAGAAAATTAATGAAGATGAAACGTAAGACGATTTGTATGTTGGAATTAGCAGACATTATAACTTGACAAAGCTGCTGCTATAACTGCTCAAAGACATAAAGGAAAATATGCCTTTAATAACTGCACAAATAGAAAATCTCATCAGAGAAATAGAAATTATAAGACAGACCCAAACAGAAATTTTAGAACTAAAAGATGCAATGTTTGAAATAAGGAAAAAAAAATCACTAGCTGCTTTTAACAAAAGATGATTGGAGATGACAGGACAATCAGAGAACATAGAGGATAGATCAATAGAAATGATCCAATCTGAAGGTCTGAGAGAAAAAAAAAAAGAATGAAAACAAAAAAGGACAGTGCTTCAGTGAGTTGTGTATAATATCAAGAGGTGTAATACATATTTTATTGGTATTCAACAGAAAAAGGGAATGGGGACATCTCCCTTCTCCCAGCAAGCCTCTTTACTGGGACTCCCTCCAGGCCACTGGGCCAAATTAGTAGGAACGGTGTATGTGTGACAGTAAATTGAGGGCAATAGTCACCAACGTTACCCAATATGAACAGAACCAGAGAACAAGACATCACTTCTTTAAGCTTCCTTTTTCTTATCTACAAAATGAAAATAATATCCTTAGAGAGGTTATGAGTTATATTAATTCATTTAAGGTTTTAGCATAATGCCTGGTATTTATGGAAGTTGGTATATTTTTTTGTACATTCTCCTTTTAATTTTTCAACCTGCTATTGCAAAAGTGTTTACTATTCATTATTAATGGCAAAAATTACATATACCTAGAAAGATGTAAATCTATTGATTGCTTTATTTCCTCAAATATGATAGAGTACACATAATTTATGAAGTTTGAAAACTTTCGCTCT